TTGTTTGGCAGGCCCGGGCTGGGGATTCGAACCCGCCACCTTAGGTGTATGTGGCTGGCGCCTTAGCCACTTGAGCCACAGGCGCCGAGCCGGTACTTAATTTTCATTGGAGTACACATGAGCTTACTTGCTGGGTTACCTCTGCTGCAAAGGTGAATCCATTATCATTCAGTATGGGGGAAAGTCTATACCAGGACATTAAATTTACCCTGTCTAGTTCCTTAGAAAAACGGTTTACCAGGTTCCTACTGACAGTTCACTCAAAGAGGCTCATGGGTGACCACAGGACACTGTACAGCATATCCAGGTATAGATGGTGGGAAGCAAAGTTTTCCCAGTGGACACCAGCATGGAGTAGCCAACGTGGTAATTCCTTGAGGGGGAGCAGCTGAACTGCCTCTGCAGCTGCCTGCCTTTGGTGTCCATCACCACCTACAATGGCAGTCTCCTGCATGCTTCCTCAGGTCCTGGGATTCATCCAGCAGAAGCGTGGTAGTACCCTCAGAGGTAAGAGTGTCTGTCACTGTTGGAACAGCTCTAGGAGCCTAGGTTTGTCCCCAGGCTTATTGCAGGGAGTTCTCATTTGCTGCCTGCTGATGGCTGCCTTACTGCTACCTGGCTTGTGGAGTGCCATCTACAACTGGTGCTGGGGCTGGGGCCTGGGCCACGGTGGGAAGGTGGGAAGGTCCCCCACTCCATCTGACCACTTCTGCCCATGAGGCTTGTCACAAACTGAATCACCATTATCAACTTGCATCTGAGGCTTCAGTGGGGAGGCATGGAGGCCTAGGCAGCCCCCTCAATTGGGCCCCACTGTGAATTTGCACCCAAGGCTTCTAGGGGGATATTTGAGTTGGAGCTACTAGTGAGGCAGGGTCCCCGCAGGGCCCTCCCTTCATTGTAAGAGTCCTGGACGGGAAGGAGCCATTAGCTTTCCTGAGGATTTCTTGTACCCTGGAGCCCTTTGCGATTTGGAGCAGGATTCCTTCCAAAGTCCTTTCTCTAAAAAGCTCACTGACTGTACCCCACCCTAGGGTGTCCCTTCCTTTCACCTGTCACAAAGGATGCTTGGCTGGCATAGCTAGCAGAACAGGCACAGTTTTTAGTCTACTATAAAGGCCAAATTAACTAGCTATGAAGGACTTATACTCATTGCTTTGCCCTGGCTATGGGTGCCCTCTGGCTACATTTCATTTCCTGCTGGGTAAGGAGGGACCATTCCTGACCCTGAGTCATAACCTAGTGGGCAAGGGATTGAAAATGAGTTCAGGCTCAGCGCCTGTGGCTCAAGTGGCTAAGGCACCAGCCACATACACCTAAGGTGGCTGGGTTCAAATCCAGCCCAGACCTGCCAACAATGATGGCTGAAACCTAAAAATAGCCAGACACTGTGGCGGGCACCTGTGGTCCCAGCTACTTGGGAGGCTGAGGCAGGAGACTCACTTGAGCCCAGGAGTTGGAGGTTTCTGTGAGCTGT